AGGGGGCTGGCTGGGGCTGACCCTCACCCTGCTTGTTTTAGAGGGACTCTGCTGTGCTTTCTGTTTGTTTTTCATCATGTCTTTTTTTTTTTAAGTCTGTTTTTTTTTTTTTCTACTCGGTTTTTAACTTCTCAGCAGGGATGGGCTGTGGGTTTTACAGCTCTGCCGGCACCAGCTGTGCTGCTTTAATGCCAGCACAAGGACTGACACTGGATTTTGCCTTTCTCGCTGCCTTCTCTCCCTTCCTCACCCCCAGACCTGAGCACCCTGCTCCCTACCTGGCCCAGAGGCAAAGGACCCTCCACAGAGGTATCATCTGTGTAAGCTGGGAGCTGAGCTTGCTTCTTGGCTGCTTTTTATTTTTTAATTGGCTTTCCCACCTCATCCTCATCCAGAGACACAGTTACTATCAGTCCCCCTGGGTCTGATGTTTTTGGGGGCTTTAACAAAACTTTAGGAGGGATTTGCAGCCTGAAATAGCACATGCTTGGTTGTATAAGGAAAGGTGGGGGATGATGTTTGGTCTGTTGCTGGGTTTTTTATGTGGGGTTTTTTTTTCTGATTCACCACGTCCTGATGCTCTTGAACAAGGAGACCCTGTTGCAGTTGCTGTGCTCTTCCTGTGACTTCTTGAGCTCTGTGACAAAGCTCGTCAGGGTCTGGCTCAGGGTTACGCAGGGCAGCTTTTGCACCCTTATTTCCTGCTGCCTTCTCGGGCAGCCGTGCCGTAGGGTTAGAAATCGCGCCGTAGCGTCGCTCAAGGACCTGGAGGCACATCGGTACCGTGACCATCCATAAATGATTTCCTCGCTGGACCTGTTGCTGCAGCTCCAGGTATTCCTGGGGTTGGAGGGGGCAGAGTGACCGTCGGGCACTGAGGTTTGCATTTTATTTCTTGTTTATGGCGAATGGTATGTCTTGTTTTACATCCCCGAGAGTGCCCCAGGACAAACGAGCTGGGGAGCAGCAGGGGAAAGGCAGGTGGAACCTCGCTCGCGCAGAGTTGTGCCCGCTCGGGTGGAGCCCCGAGGGAGGGGACGCCGCTTTGGGGAAGAGTTTCTCACCCAGAACAGCCCAGCAGGAGTTAATCTCATCCCCCGTGGTGCTGGTTGGAATCTCCTCTGGCTTTGAGCAGTGCCATTCGGGGGTGACAGGTGCCTTGCTCGCAGACAGGGAGCCCAAAACCGTGCCGGCCGTCATCCTCCTCGTCTGCCAGGAATGACAGCTAAGAGGTGTCAGGCTGCTTTCTGGGAAAAGGGCTTGGTCGTTCCCGTCGGGGCTGTGATTGCCGCGAAATAGCCCCCCAGCTGCCTGGCACCCAGTCTGGAGGAAGAAACTCCCCTGACATGTACACGCCAGCCCCATCCTTTGAACGAAGATGAACGTGGTCTTTATCTCAGAAGCCTTCCAGGGATTTTTTTTGGTGGTTTTCCCAGTTCAGCACTGGGCATCGCCGCCCTCTCCCCTGCTTGGCTTGTGCGTTCCTGCTGCTCCCACCCCGCCGGTCGCACCCGCTGGGCTCCGGTCAGGAAGCTACACGTGATGGACGTTGTCTTTCCTTCCTGCCTCGGCTTCTTGGTGTTTGCTTGATCGGCAGCGGCTCAGCTTGGGCAACGAGCTGGGGAAGCGTGAGCAGGGAGCCAGGACCTCATTCATCCATGGCCGAGGTCTGCACAACCTTGGCTGGGGTGGGGGGTCAGC